GTGGGGACAGGGGAGGACGCACGGTGGGCTTGTGAAGAAGTTTAGGCCACAACTCTGAACAATTCGTGTGCGTGACACGTTGGGTACATGGTGGTGAGAGCTGTTTGCTCTGGCCCTTCAGAGCCAACTTTGTGCTGGGCATTTTCCGTCGTCACCCATTCCACTTGGCCACTTCAGTCCTGTCCAGAGTCACAACCTCACAGAAACTGGGGATGGAGTTTGAATCCAGGTCTGTGTGACCCTGTGGTCAAGCAGATGGCAGAGAGAGGCCCCTAGCCTGCAGGGCCCTGTGACTCAGAGCTGGCAGGTCCCCCTGGCCCGCCTTCCGCTGACTCAGCCAGATGATTTTCGGAGCCTTTCTCTGGAATTCTGTGCCCCAGGCAACGTTCCCGAGGCAGCCACCTCCTCCACATGCGGGGCACACCCTTTGTGGAATGTTGGTGATGGCCTCCCTTTGGGGTCTGGAGCTTCTCTCAGGTGGAGGGGGCTTCCTGGGATGAGCATCTCCCCTTAACCACCTTGGCAAGGTGGCTGGGTGGCATAGGCTCAGGGAAGGTTGGCTGGGCTGGGGAGGCCCAGGCTCAGTTTCCTTCCAACCATAGCCCATCTCACATCTTAGCTGGCCCTGCCCCTCAACTAGCCCCGCCCCTCTCAGCCCTGCTTCCTATCAATCATCCTCCCCACCCCCACCCTGCCCGGCTCCATGTTCTGCCCAAGGCCAGGTGGGCCTGGGTCTGGATTAAGGTTAAGTATGACTGACGTACCATTCTTACTCTCTACTGCCAAGGCTACTGGGAGTGGCCAAGGGGTGAAGGGAAGGTGGCAACAGGGCCAGTCCCCCTCTGTCCCCTGTGGGAATCCCCAGCTCTCCAAAGATGTAATCCCCTTGAGGACGGCTTCTGTTGGCCATAACTGCCTATGCTTCTCACTGCCCTGCTGTCTCTGCCTCCCGGAGCCCAGTGCTCATGTGTGCCACTGTCCCTCACTTTCCCCATGATCTACAGTATGGTAGACTCAAAGACCCTCCAAGCCCCGGTACAATAGCCTCCTGGTCCCTGCCTCTCTTCCCTCCCACCCCATGGAGCAGGTTCCAGGAAAGTCCTACTATGCAGAGATGTCCTGGGCACTACTGCAGGGGGAGTGTGGAGGAACAGACATTGTTGGCCAGTGAACTGAGGATATATATATGGCAGTCACTTGTGCTGAGGCTGTGCTAGGCCCCCTCAGATGAGGGCTATGGAGAGGTTTAGAAATCTTCCAGCGACCGTGAGCACATGTTGTGTAGTGAGATTTGAAGCCTGGACTCTTGTGTATGCAGCCCACCAAAAGGGGACACTCAGATCCTGGCCCATTTGCCAGTCTCTTGCTGTGTACCTGGTTCTGTGCCGGGATTGATATGACCCAGGGCCTGCTCATGGTGACAAGACCGTCATGCGAGGTGTGAGCAGTCTGGGGACTGGAAGGGAGAGAACCACATTTACAGGCTAGATCAATGGAGAACCAAATTCCCAGGATGCAATCAGAGGTTGTTAAAGGGGAAGGAAAAGGTGCTGGGCCCAGGGCTATCCTTGAAGGTTTGAAGGACAAAGGGGGTCTCCCTGATCCTGTGGACTTTGAGGCTGGTTTGAGGAAGACAATAATAACAGTGTTATTCGTAAAAGCAAAGGCTGCTGACACCTTGCAAGGCCTTCTGTTCTGTCCCCCACGGCCTGTCTTTAGCCACCTCTCCTCCTCCACTCCTCATCCTCGCTGCTCTTGGAACATCCCAGCCCACTATCACTAGCTATGGAAGGCTCTGTTCTTGGGGTGGAAGTTGCAGCAAGCAGGTGTGCAGAGTAGCCCTAGGGAGATGGTGGATGGAGAGAAAGTAACACGTGGTGGCTGGAGGGCAAAGGGAGCTCCTTGCCTGCAGGCTTCTGGCCCAAGGACATTTGAGCTAAGAGTCAAACAGTTAGGAAACATCCAAGCCAGGAGCCGAGGGACAAGCATTCCAGGCAGAGGGAACAGGCAAGAGGAAGGCCCTGAGGTGGGAAAGTGACTGTTCCAGGAATGGACGGTGGCAGGTGAGTGGGGACAGTGGGAGGAGGGCAGTTAGGGAGTTACATTTTATTCCAGTTTGGTGGGAAAACTGGGAGGTTTTAAGCCTATTCTGTTTTTGAAATGACCTTTTATCTGGGTGGTGATGGCTCATGCCTGTAATCCTAGTTACTTAGGAGGCAGAAATCAGGAAGATTGTGGTTCAAAGCCAGCCTTGGGCAAATAGTTCCTGAGACCCTATCTCAAAAAAAAAAAAAAAAAAAAAGCCATTACAAAAAGGGCTGGTGGTGTGGCTCAAGTGATAGAGCACCTGCCTAGCAAGCGTGAGGTCCTGAGTTCAAACCCCATACCACAAAGAAAAGAAAAAAAAAAAAGAAAGGCCAGGTGGCACCTGTGGTTCTAGCTGCTTGGGGGAGGCTGAGGCAGGAGGCTCAGTTGAGCCTAGGAGTTCGACTAGCCTAAGGCAACAAACATAGTGGGACCCCATTTCAACAACAAAACAAAACCAAAACCAATTTCTCTGGCTGCCAAATGGAGAACACATACACTGTAGCTCAGAGCTCCTAGGGAGAGGGATTGGAGCCAGTTTGAGACCTGGGGACACTTTTTACATGACTTGGGACAGGAACTGACTGATGTTACTGTACCCATTTCACAGAGAAGTTCAGCTGGATGCACTCTAATATTATGTTATTGTCCAGATGTGGAAATTCAGAGGGGAAGGAATTTGTTCAAGGAGACATAGCGAAGGCCAAATGTAGGTCCCCAGGGCACTTGCTCTGCTCCTAGACCTTTCTCCTCTCTAGGCAGGGCTGGGATTACTCACCCCTTGCCTTTTGTAGATGGGGAAATCAAGCTCAGAGAAGAGCAATAACCTGGTCCCAAGTCTGGGACAGGCCCCAGGGGCCCTGGCTCAAGGTTTAGCACCTCTGTTTGTCTCCCTGTTGCAGCCCTGTGTTCTTAGCCTGGCTACAGGAAGAAGAGAAACAGCTGAAGTCACTAGAGGACGATCATGGAGGTGATGCTTAATCATTCATATTCACCCCAGGTTCTGGGGACGCCTGGGGACAGCAGATGGAGGAGGAGGCTCTTCTGTTTGTAGGAAAGTGGGCATTGTCCTGCCTGGCTGGATGCCCACAGCAGCCAAGTGTGTATGTGATGTGGCCTGTGTGTAACTGTGGGTGTGGATGTGTGAGTGTGGTGCCCCAGGCACTTGCTGCATCCTCGGGAATGCCAGACACCCAGGGGCACCTAGACATCCGACTTGCTTACAGCCAGTGACCTCTGCCCTCTCTGCCCATTACAAAGAGCTCTAGGTTTCAGTGTCTGATCTCTAGACCCTGCCTACACTTCTTGATGAGAGAATAATTAACCATAGACTCATTTTCCAAGGTTTCCACCCCTTTCTCCAGGCCAAGCAAAAAAATATTCACAATGAGCAGGACTACTGGAGGGAGGAGCTGCTTGTTCCGTGTGGGAGGCAGCAAGAGGCAGGGGACCCAGAGCCTGGGGGCAGAGAGAGGCCAGCACTGGGCGCCTTACTGTGTGAATTTGGGCAAGTTTCTTTCCCTCTCTGTGCTTCTGTTTGCAACTCTGTTAACTGATGTGTTTGCACTAGAATTCAGTCCTTACAAAGCAAGGGAACAATCCAACAACAGAAATGTCTGTGGTTAATTAAGGTTAGGAAAGGACACTTGGATGTAGAGTCAAACTAGTTTACTGCAGGACTATTCAGAGGCAGTTATTGGTTGAAAATTTTTGACTCCTTGAGGGAGTGCCTACTACAGATGCCATGGCAATCCCAGTCACAAGGTAGGGACGAGGTCTGGGGACTCACACATCTTTCCAGTTCCTTCCTGCCCTCGCCTCCGCAGGCACTGTGGGCAGTTTCCAGTGCTCTGACCATATCACACCAAGTGACCACAGTCCCCAAGGTGGGGGAGGGGGAGATTGGATGTAGTTTTGATGTTAATTCTGCTTTTTGTTTCTCAAACTGGTTTGACTTCAACCACAGAGCCTCCTTAAACACCTCTGGAACCGGCATCTGGAGGGACACCTTTTGAGAAACAAGGGGACCCTAGTCCCCATGTGCTTGGGGCCTTCATAGATGAAGAGAGGGAGCAGTGGTGGCCTTCAGGGACCCACTCTCATCTTTGAGAAGGTGCCCATGACTTCTGCCCTGAGCTGCTGGTCTAGCGGCTGTCCTGAGCTTGAAGGAAGGTGCCAGAGCTGCCAGTCTATTTGGGGACACTGAGGCCTGGGAAGGACAAGTGCTTGCCCAGGTTACTGACAGGTAAGGGGCCCAGCTGGGCTCAGGATCCAATGTTCCCAGCCAGTGCTGCCCATCCAGTGGCCCATGGCTGACCGGAGCAATAGAAGCTTGGAGGAGGAGCGCTGGGGGGAGGGTCAGGCATGCTGAGTTCTCTGGATGGTCTGAAGCCTGCTCTATACTTGGTGGTCGTTTCCTGGAAGATGGGGCTGACGAATTGTGACCAGGTGTGTGGCATGCCTTTGGGGCTCTTGTGATGTGTGGGCTACGTGGAGACCGTGAACCCCAGGTGTGAGATGGTAGTTCTGAGTCCGCTGTGTGTTGGTGTGGCATAGGGTCGCATGGGGTGACGCTGTGTGTGGCTAGCGCGGGGGAGGGGGAGAGGGTCCGTACCGTCCAGTGCGGGTTGCGAGTCGCGGGCTTCTCCCGGGCGGGCGGCGGGCGTGGCCAGCCTTCGCAGTGACCTGGACAAGGTGTGCAGCGGAGCCCGGCAGGGTGAGCGTGCGTGTCCCGTCCCCGCCCCGCCGGAGGCCGGGCAGGTGTGGGCGGGCCGCCGGGACCCCGCCGCGCCAGGGCCGGGAGAGCCGGCGGGAAACAGGAAGCGGGGGGGAGGCGCGCGGCCGGCCCGGAGGGCGGGGTGCGGGCGGGCGCGCCGGGTGGCCGGCGGCCGGACGCTCCGCCGGCTCTGGCGGCGATGTGGGGAGGCCCGGGCAGCCCGGGCGGCCGCGGGGACGGGGGCGGAGCCGGGGGCACCCAGGGCACCGCCCCCCTGCGCCGGCGGAGCCGCCGCCCGAGCGCGGACCCGGGAGCCCGAGGCGGCTGCGGCGTGCGGGGTGAGTCCGGGGCGCGGGATCCGGCGGCGACGGCGATGGTGCGGGTCGTGCGGCCGACGCCCCAGGTGGGATCGGTCTTCGCCTCCGCCCCGGGGCGCCCCGCTAATCACCCCCCTTTCCCCCGCGCCTGTCGCCCGCAGACCCCGAGGACACGGCCATGCCGGGCCGGGCGGAGGCGGGCGAGGCGGAGGAGGAGGCCGGGGTCGGCTCCGGGTCCGAGGCGGAGGAGGACGCGCTGTGGGAGCGGATCGAGGGCGTCCGGCACCGGCTGACGCGCGCCCTGAACCCGGCCAAGCTCACGCCGTATCTGCGCCAGTGTCGGGTCATCGACGAGCAGGACGAGGAAGAGGTGCTGAGCACCTACCGCTTCCCGTGCCGCGTCAACCGCACCGGTGAGCTGCGGGGCGCGCAACGCCGGGCAGCGCCGCTGTCCTCCGCTTCCCCCGGGCCCCACCGGCTCCCAGCGCAGCGCACGGAGCTCTGGAGCGCGAGGCCAGGGCACTTCTGCTCCCCTGGGCCTCAGCCTCCACGTCGGGAGGGTGGGCTGTTTGGGGTCGCCCCACATCGATCCGACCCGATAGGCCGCCGTGACCACACCGGCGTCGGGGTTTGGTTTGTCTTGGAAATGGGGTTCCCTTCCACTTCCTGGATCCACATTACAGCAGGGGGGTGGATGTGGTTGCCGGTGCCGTCTGGGTCAGCTACCTCCCACTACAATTGGTGGCCTTTGGCATCTTTCCTGTGCCCTTTGACCTCCTTGGTTTTCTCTCCCTCCTTCTTGTCGAGAGTCATTTTTTCCCTCAAGATGGGCTCAAGTCCCATCTCCGTTTTGCCAGAGTCCCCTCTCCTACAGAGCTTGTCCTTGAACCAGAGCTAGCAAAGGAATTGAGGGTCTGATGGTGGAATTTCAGGCACTAGCCAGTGGGAGAAGTATTTTTGCTTTGGGGGATAAAGGACTCCTCTGTGAAAGGAGGGGTGTTTGCTGCCCTTGCATCTGTGTGTGTGTGTTTGGGGAGCTGCCTGAGCACAGGTGCTATGGGGAGTGGGTGTCTGGCTTTCCTGGTGGGGCTGATGGGCTGTCCTTCCTGATGTGTTGGGACAGGCTCCTGTGTGTGTCATGGCTCAAAAATCTGGGGAACGTGAGCCCTGAAGCATGGTGGGAGAGAAACAACTAGGTTGGGGGCAACCTCTTTGATCCTGGGTGCACTTCCCCTCCCCAGGGCGCCTGATGGACATCTTGCGCTGCCGAGGCAAGAGGGGCTATGAGGCCTTCTGGAAGCCCTGGAGTTCTACTACCCCGAGCACTTCACGCTCCTCACCGGCCAGGAACCTGCCCAGCGTTGCTCCATGATCCTCGGTGAGCGGGTCTGCACTGGTGCCCTGGCCTTGGCCACTTGTGCGAGGTTCCTTACTCTGACCTGTCAGGGGTGCATGCCCATTGTCCTTGTTGAACATGTAGGGAAACTGAGGCACAGACTGAAGTGGTTTGCTCAGAGCCCCACAGTAGGCTGAGGGTGAGGTTGTGATTTTACTTCAGTTAGCCCAAGTTCAAGGCTAGCATGCTTAACACCGCTCTTTCTCCCTAACATTGTGCTCAGCTGACATACACAGGCTTACTGTTTCTTATATAAAAAAATTCAATCTAGGGATGGTGACCACTCCTGTAATCCCAGCTCTAAGGAGGCAGAGGTCAGGAGGACTGCAAGTTTCAGGTCAGCCTAGGCTACATGGCAAGACCTTATTTCAAAAAACAAAAAATAAAAAAGTTCAATGGCTCCAGATGACTTTAGATAAAAAAGAGAAGGTCTTTCCTCCTTCAGCTGTGTTGTGCTGGTCACTGTCTGGCGCATCACCTTGGCTTAGCAGTTTTGTTCACCTACTGGATTGGTGTGTGTTGCTTTATTTCAGAATGGCCAATTTCAGTGATTCTTCCACGTCTGCTAATACTTGTTTTAAGTGACTTGTTTAATGTTCATTGGTGAAGTTGTGACATAATTCATTTAACCCATCCCTTGTCAGTGGACACCTAGGTTGTTTACGGTTTTGTAACGTTACCATGAGGAGAACATCTTTGTGCACTCCCACTTCTCCTAGCCCGGCAGAGGTTGTGAAGTAGCATTTCTCAGAGTGTGACTACTGACCTGTTTACCAACACACCTCCCAGCGGCAGTGTATGGGTACCAGTTTTGCTGTGTCCCCCCTCATGAGCCTGGGGATCACTTTTAAATGCTTTTCCCAGAGTGAGATGTAAAAAATAATATTGTTTCAGGTTTATATTTCATTCAGTGATGTAGTAAACCTTGGGCACATTGACTTTTCTGTGTCTCAGTGTTTTTGTCTTTAGGGTGAAGATTAAATAAGTTAATACATGTATTTAACACAAAGTCAACAAATATTAGTGGCTACTATTATTGCTGGTGTATTGGAGCGTTTTTTTTGATTAGACATTTTTATTTTGGGACTTGCCTATTGATAGTTTTTACTATCAATATTATTCAGGTTTTTTTTTGGTAGGACTGGGGTTTGAACTCAGGGCTTCTCACTTGCAAAGCAGGTGCTCTACTGCTTGAACCACACCTCCAGTCTATTTTGGTCTGGTTATTTTGGAGATGGGGGTCTCATAAACTGTTTTCCCAGGCTTGTCTTGAGCCTTGATTCTCCTGATTTTAACTTCCTAAGTAGCTAGGATTACAGGCGTGAGCTATGGGTGCCCTGCTGCTTTTTCTCATTGATTTGTAAGAACTCTTTATATATTTTTTGCTTTGAGTTTATTTATATTGGTTATATCTTCTCCTACTCTTTCGCTTGTCTTTTAATTGTGTTACTTCTTTCATTTTTCATAGATTTAAACATATTTATGTGAACTTGTTCACTTTTTCTCTCATAGCTCCTGGCTTTCCTACCTTTTTAGGAAGGCCTTCCCTATCTTAAAATTACAGTATAGCCCAGACTTCCCTTCTAGTGGTTTATCTGTGTGCTCTGCCTTCTCCCTGGATTTTATTTGCCTGTCCTGAGTATTCCTCCTCCTGTCTCTGCAGATGAGGAGGGACCTGAGGGCCTGACCCAGTTCTTGATGACTGAGGTGAGGCGACTGCGGGAAGCTCGCAAAGGCCAGCTTCAGCGGGAGCAGCAGCTGCAGGCCCGTGGCCGGGCACTGGAGGAAGAGCGGGCAGGGCTGGAGCAGCGGCTGCGGGAGCAGCAGCAGGCCCAGGAGCGCTGCCAGCGGCTGCGGGAGGACTGGGAGGCGGGCAGCCTGGAGCTGCTGAGGCTCAAGGATGAGAACTACATGATTGCCATGCGGCTGGCCCAGCTCAGCGAGGAGAAGAACTCGGCCGTGCTGCGCAGCCGTGACCTGCAGCTGGCGGTAGGTCCTGGGAGGTGGGTGGGGCAGGCTGCAGAAGGGTGACCTTTGTAAAAAATGATGACCCTGTGGATGCCAGCTGGAGTCTCAGAGCCACCATCAGCCAGCTTTTGACCATGAACTGGTCAAAGCCTGAGGCGATTCCTAATTGCCCCAAAACACTTGGCAAGTGAGAACATTTTGGTTGTCCTGACTAAGGGGATGTTACTGACACCAGGTGGGTAGATACCAGGGATGTTTTAAATGTCTTGTACTGCACAAGAGACCCCTACCACAAAGAATTATCTACCCTAAGTGTCGATAGTGTCAAGGTGACAAAAGCTTGGGATTGCCAGGCAGGAGCTCTACTACTTGAGCCACAACCCAGCCCTTTTTGCTTTTAGTTCGTTTTTCAGATAGGGCCTCACACTTTTGCCCAGGTCAACTTCAGACTTCCATCCTCCTACCTCTGCCTCCCAAGTAGCTGGGATTGCAAGCATGCACCATCACTTCTGGCATTTTCCTGGTTTCTTATTGGGACTCGGTATGGGGAATCATACTGGCTTTGACTGCCACAGGGAATTTTCCCAAGGACAAACGAGTCAGTTCACGTTGGGGGCTTTCTAGTGCCTGGAGCATACAGCAGCTCTCCAGAAATACCGCCTGGCTCCGCAGGTGTGGCCACAATGTTGTGGTGTGAGGGGGGCCTGTGGAAGATGGAGGCTGGTGGGAGGCAGTAGGTTTGGGAGGAGGTGTAGGTTTGGGGCACCCTTGTGCCTGGGTTGTATGTGTGAGCAGATTGGTGTTTGGGGGAAGGGAGTCCAGATCAGGATGTTGGGGCCATAAGTGAGATTGTTAGTGGCTGGTTTGCAGTTGTGAGGTGACTATGAGGCCCCCCTCTTGGTGTTTGCTGTAAAGTGGAGGCTCTCAGAGATGTGGTCAGTGGGGCCATGGACACAGGTCCCAGGCCCAGCTCTGTTGCCAGTGAGCAGTGTGGCACAGGCAAAGCTTCCCTCTCTGTGTCTCAGTTTCCTCATCCTCAAAGCGAGAGGTCACGGGTGAGGATGATGTAACAATCAATAAGCACCCCTGAGTACTGGGCGTGGTCCTAGGTGCTGCTGTGCACACACATGTCTCTTTCCAGGAAGCCTGTATTGGGATTGGGCACTGCTGTTGCGCCCATTTCTGGAGGGGAAAGCCAAGGCACAGAGAGGTTGATTTGGCACTTTCCCCAGATTGAGGAGTAGAGGTCAGCATGTAGAATCCCCACTCTTTATCTAGAGCTGTTCTTTTTCTGAAACAGACATTCTGTTTCAGAAACCTTCTGCAAGGTTTTTTCCCCATGGAGCTGCTGCTCAGTGAGGGCGTTGTGAAGCCACTGGCCGCCTTGGCTGGTCTCGCCTTTGGATTGGTGTGATTTGTGAGTTGTGCCCCTGCAGTGGCAAGTGTGCATGTGTGACTGGTTGATGTCCTGTGTGTGTACAGCCATCTGCACACTGCTGCTGGGCTGGGAGCTGGAGAAGAAGCAGCTGGGGTGGGGGGGCAATGGGCTACAGGTGCACATAGTTCATTTATCTCTACTGCTGTTCCTGGCGTTAGGTGATAGAGGGTGAGTGGAGAATAAGTCAGTAGATAAACTTCCATAAATTTATCCTAACTTTTTGGAGGTCTGCTGTCCCAAAGTTTAAAAAGACACTGCAGATGGATGGTAACAGAACCGCTGATCTGGCTGGCTTGGCAGCTTGAGTCCCCTCCCCCACGGACAGGTGTGTGGTGGCTGTGATTTAATACTGTGTTTTATAAGGTGCAAATTTAATGAGGTGTTATGTCTAAGCAACATAAACTTAAGAAACGAATGCTATAATTTTGTGCTAAGTGAGTTTGTAGGCCGGGATTAAGTGTATCCGTGTTTCCTGGTATTCAGTGGAGACTCCCAGGTGCCCTGTCCTCTGAGCTCATCGGAAGCCACTGGCCTCGGGTCAGGCAGGCAGGACGCACACTCTATGTGTGGCTGTGGTTTGCTGTGAGGGAGTGACCATGCCTGCCTTTCAGACTAGCTGTCTTTCTCTGGCGGGTCACAAAGCGTGTTTTGTGAGTAGAAAGGAATGCGGGAGTCATGAATTTCTTTCTGAGTCTTTGTGGAGGAGTGGACCTTTCATTTGTGGAACTGCCTGACCCAGTCTCCAGACCCCGTGTGAGTGTGTGTGTGTGTGAGTGTGTGTGTGTGTGTGTGTGTGTGTGTGTGTGTGTGTGTGTGTGGTGCCCCTCTGGGCTCAGAGGCCTGGAGTCTATCAAGTTATGTTCCAAGAGAGGTCAGGACTCCTAGGGTACCACACATTGGCTGGCCTGAGAGCAGCTCCAGAGGTCATTGTGCTCTTTCCTCATTTTATGACCTGCTGTTACTACAGTCTGGCCACCCCAGAGCCCACATGAACTTGGCAAATAACTCAAGCTCAGTGCAAAGCAGCCATGCGGATCAACCCTTGGCCAGGTGGCCCTTGCCCAGCCTCCCACCCCCACCTGGGCGAGCCTCTGGCTGCATACACTGAGCTGGTGGCTGGTGAGGGCTCCAGGGTGTCACTTAAGCAGTGAAGATGCTGCACCTGTGGCAGCTGTGCAGCCTCCCCTGTCCACTCACTGTCTTGTTTGGTTCTTAGAACAACTTTGGAGGAGTTTTGTATTTGCTCAGCCTGTCCGTTCTCCTCAGGCAGGTCTCCTCTCTGGAGATCTGGGGGTACCAGGAATGAGGGAGCAGAACTGCCCCCCCAGCAGGGCCTCTCAGCAGGTCCCATCTGGACTGACCCCTCTCTTGGGCACCAGGTGGATCAGCTGAAGCTCAAAGTCAGCCGGCTGGAGGAGGAATGTGCTCTGCAAAGAAGGGCCAGGGGGCCGCTGCCCGTGGCCGAGGAGAAAGAGAAGGAGAGGGAGCCTGACAACACAGACTTGCTCTCGGAGCTTAGGGCCGAGAACCAGCGGCTGACAGCGTCACTGCAGGAGCTACAGGAGGGCCAGCAGCAGGTAGGAGGAGGGACTGTGGCCTGGTCTGCCCAGAAGCGGAGCCCTGCTGCTCACTGTCCTCCTGAGGCCTGGTGGGCTGGGGACTTCAGAATCAGGAGTCTGAAGTTTGATGTGATCCTGGCTGGCCTCTCGTCCTGAAAGCTCTGAGCCCAGAGCCCTAAGCACACTGCTTTTCCTGGGGTTTCAGCCTGGGGGTGGTCTCCAGAGGTCTCTGGACTCCTGGAAAGTATGTGTTTGATGGTGTGAGTGAGCATTTCCTTGGGGAAAAGGCTCCTGGCTTTCCTGGCTTTTGTTTGTTTGTTTTTTGGTGGTCCTGGGGTTTGACTTCAGGGCCTCGTTCTTGCTAGGCAGGTGCTCTGCCACTTGGGCCACACTTCCAGGCCTTTTTGCTTTAGTTTATTTTTCAGATAGGGTCTTGCACTTTTTCCTGGGGCCTGACAGTGCTCCTCCTACCTCCATGTCCTAGTAGCTGGGATCACAGGCGGGCACCATGATGCCTGCTATGTTTTTTCGAGATGGAGTCTCCATAACTTTTTGCTTGGCCTGGCCTTGAACCACAGTCCTCCTACTTCTGCCTCTGGGACTGAAGGGGTACACCACCATGTCTGGCCCCTCAGCCCTGTGTTTGCCATCACACCTGGCTTTCTTGAGATTGTAGAGGGTCTCTGACCTTGAAGAGAGTGAGACTCTGAGGTCTGGATGGCCCCAGGGCTTGCTTGGGGTCCCTTGGCTAGGTGGGGCCAGGGCTTTATTTAGGACTGAGGGTCTGGCTGAGTGGTTAGAGCACAACCTCATTTACTTTCCTCCCTGAACCTCCCCTAGAGGGTGGGCAGGTCTATGAGGCTGTTCCCACTTTCCATATGGTGAAACTGAGGTCCAGGCCCTAGGCCAGGATGGCAGAGCTAGTGGGGTGGGGTGGGAGAATTGAGGGCTAAGGTGGCCCTGCACTTGGACCCCCAGGAGGCGAGCCGGCCAGGGGCCCCGGGCTCTGAGCGCATCCTCCTGGATATCCTGGAGCATGACTGGCGGGAGGCACAGGACAGCAGGCAGGAGCTATGCCAGAAGCTGCACGCTGTGCAAGGCGAGCTGCAGTGGGCCGAGGAGCTGCGGGACAAGGTAGTGTGTGCTACCTCGCTCACACCCCTCTGCCGGTGCCCTGGCCTGGTGAGGGGAGGGCCGGGCGCCAGCAGTTTCTAGCAGCCAGCCTTCCCCAGGCGTCCTGGGGCACTGTTCTGGGAACTGTCACTCACTGGTCCTCACATAGTGACCCTACGTACTGGAGACTCAGAGAGTTAATAATCAAAGGCTTGCCCCTGTGGAGGGTGCTTTAGCAGGGGAGGGGACCCTAAGGCAGCTAATTCACAAACAGAAAGCAGGAAGTGCTGTAAAAGCACAGAGGAGGGTGGCACTTTTGGTGGTGGCCCCATCTTACAGATTAGGCAGCTGAGGCTCAGTGAGGGTGCAGGTAGTGGCCCAGACAATCCCGCTCGAGAGGTGGGCCTTGTCACTGGGGCTCGGGTTTCTTACTGGGCCTGCTAGGTACCAGCTGGCTGGCTTTCCCTCCCAATCCTGGTCTTCGTGGTCTGAGTCCACCCTTCCTGCCCCACCTGCAGTACCTGCAGGAGATGGAGGACCTTCGGCTGAAGCACCGCACATTGCAGAAAGACTGCGACCTGTATAAGCATCGCATGGCCACTGTACTGGCCCAGCTGGAGGAGGTGGAGAAGGAGCGGGACCAGGTGGGCCCCAGCTTGCTGGCTCTGGTTCAGGGAAGAGGGGGGCACTGCAGGTGTAGAAAGAGACTTGAGTGGTGCGCTGGTTGGTTTAGGCTCACCTGCGTCCCTGTGACAGTGATAAAGCTGTCTCCACCCCCTTCATTTTGAATCTCTTGTTCTCTGCATATCAAGGATAAGGCCAATACAATATTTGCTGATGAAGAAATTCTCAGAAGTTTTGGCCCCAGTCCCTGGCACCATAGCCCTTGTCTGCTGCCGAAGGCCATGGGGTGGGTGGAGGACCCTGGGCAGGCTCCTCTGTGTCCCTGTTGGCCTTGTGTGGGGCCCCCACAGGCTGGGGGTTGGCAGGAGGTTTTCATCCTGACCAAGTGTTTTAGGATGGACCTTAGACTCCCCTGGGGGAAGAGCAGATGCAGGTTTGGGGCTTCCGGGCCTGTGTATTTGGTCTTACGTGGCCTGAGGCAAGGCGCAGTTAACTGCTTATCACTAGGCCACTCCTTGCCCCTGGGCCTCTGTCCCCAGCTCCGTCTGAGGCAGTAGTGGCGTATCTGATCGTGGGGCTGGTCTTCATTGTTCAAAATGAATGAGAATGATGACGCTGTGTCCTGCCTCCTTGTCGGTCACCATGAACATGGACCAAGCTGACACTTAGCACAGCCAGTGTCCAGGAAGTACTGCCAGCACAATAGCGTTATTCTCCTTGCTATCCCCTGCCTTGAGCTCCAAGGCCTGGAAGTTGAGCCAGTGTGGCTCCTCTGCTCTCTCCAGGCCATCCAGAGCCGCGATCGGATCCAACTGCAGTACTCACAGAGCCTCATTGAAAAGGACCAGTACCGAAAGCAGGTGCGGGGGTTGGAGGCCGAGCGGGATGAGCTGCTGACCACGCTCACCAGCCTGGAGGGCGCCAAGGCCCTGTTGGAGGCACAGCTGCAGCGGACCCAGGGAGGCCCCTGCCTCAAGGTGAGCAATCATTGTCCTGGGGGAAGGCTGGGGCTCTGGGAGGGCTGGGAACCTGTGGGACCAGGTGGGAGACCTCAGCCAGGGTGGGAACGTGGTGGCAAGCTGGAGGTGGGTTGGCTGGCAAGCAGGATGGGGCACTTGGCTGTCTGAGTTTTTGGGGCTGCTCCTGGGATACAATGATAGTTTGAGCTGTCTTTGCACATACTGGGGCAAGCCTGGCTGCCCAAGGGGCTGTGAGCCTGTTGGAATGCAAAACGGGGCCTCAGACACCAGCTAGTGAGTCTACTATGGGCCTCAAAACCCATCAGGGACCAGCTGCTTTAATTCCCTCATGGTGTGGGACCCAGAAGGACTTGTCAGATGTCACACAGCAGGCAGCCCTGGAGTAGAGTCCTGAGATCCTTGGTAATTTAGATTACCAAGGTCCCTCAGGCTGCTGCCAGGAGCTCTGCCTTGTCCTATCTTGGGTGACTTATGATAAGCTCATCAGGCCTAGCACTGATACAGGAGGCCTAGAGGAATGGAAGGAGGAGGCACATGGGTCTGTGACTGCTCACTCATTAGAAGCCTCAGAGGCTTTTTGCTTTTAGGTGAAGACAGATCCCCTGATCATGCCCCCAGTCCCTGTAGGTTAGGCAACTCCTACCCTCTAGTGCGGTGCTATGGGTCTTAGCATTTAAAACCCTGAAATTTGGCACAGTCCTGCCTCAGGGCCTTTGCACCGACTGGACCATCCTCTTCACTGTACCTACATATCCTTGAGTGCTAGGTTTAAACCCCACTTTCTCTGAAGGTGCTCAGATGCCCCAGGTTGGGTAAGGCCTTTTGTGTTTTCTGTGTCCCGGGCACCTTCCTCTGCTGTCATTGCTCTTGGGTGATTTTGTTTCCCTTGTGGGTTTATGAGCTGGCCTCTTCAAGGGTGTGGGCTCCATGAGGGCTGGGATCTGGTCCCCTGTGCCCAGCTCTGCCCTGGATCTGGCCCATGGCAGTACTCAGTAACTGGCTGTGGCCAGTGTCCACTCAACTTTGCTCACCCCCTCCCTTTCTCCCTCCCTCGGCCTCCTCCTCCTCCAGGCCTGTGCCTCCTCCCATTCCCTGTGCTCCAACCTCAGCAGCACCTGGAGCCTCAGCGAGTTCCCCTCCCCACTGGGGGGCCCAGAAGCAGCTGGGGAAGCAAGTGCTGGAGGGTCTGAGCCCCACACCTTGGTAAGACACCCATCTACCCTGAGCATGGGGGAAGCTGATAGCAGTCATGTGACACCTAGAGAGCACCCTGGTTTGCAGCAGCTCCACTGCACATGAGAGCACTGGGCCCAGGGAGGCCGATAACCTCCAAACTCCCCAGAGCTGGACCTTGGTGCTGGGAATCCTTGGGAGCTGCTGACACACTGTAATCATGTAGAGTCCTTTCCTGCCCAGGTCCCTGGGTGTCATCTGTGGAATGGGCTGGGTGTGCAGAGGGCTGGGAGAGCAGAGGTGGTGGGTGACCAGGCCCTGCCCTGGTGTTGCAGGAGGAAGTCACAGACAGTGAGAAGGAGATCAACCGCCTCTCCATCCTGCCCTTCCCCCCCAGTGCTGGCTCCATCCTCCGCCGGCAGCGTGAAGAGGACCCTGAACCCCCAAAGAGGTGAACAGACTGGAGATACAGTAGACTCAGAGATATGGTGTTGATGCCTCCTGAGTCGCCATCTCCTAAGTGTCCTGATGCCAGTCAGGTCCCTGTGTTCCCTCCCCTGCTGCCCTCAGGTGGCCAGAACCCTGGAGACTCAGGAGTCCTGGGAGGGGCTGTCAGGCACAGTGGGTCAGCCACAGCCCAGCAGTCGAGTGGGAGTCCTGGAGGTGGGAAAGTCCCCCAAGAGGAATCCTTGTGGCCAGGAGGAGAGGTCAGGGACCTAAGCAAAGGCTGGACCCCAGCTTTGTGCATCAATAGCCAGAAAAACCAAGCCACACCTGCTGGTGGCAGAGCAGAGGCCCCTGGGAGATCCCCTGCCTCTCTGAGTATGTCCTTGTCATTGTTGCCCCTCTAAGTAGTCTCCTGATGGGGGTCTGGGCACAGAGAGGCTGTGATCACTAGGGGCTTGATCTTAGTGACCAGGCCATGATAGGCGTGTGATGGGGATGGTGCTGTAACCCTGGGAGCCAAGGATGGAAGGCATCAAGCATGGGTAAGATGGGAGGTGAGATGTCAGAAAGGGCTTCCAGGAGGAGGTGGCATTAAGGAGCTAGCTTTGAAGGATAGGCCAGCTGTGAAACCTGTGGCAGAGACCTGTGGCACAGGTGTCCTTTGCCTGGGCCATCACCTTAGGCCTAGCCTGCATTTTCTTGGGGACTGTGGGATCTTTTGGTGGCCTGGGGGCAGGAGGGAAAGGAGCAGAGTGCTGGCCAGGCCTTACCTCTGCCTTTCCCGGTCTCTGCCCAGGTCCTTCAGCAGCATGTCGGACATCACAGGTAACATCCCTGGGGATTCGGGACGCTCGTCTTGGGGAGGTGCAGTGCAGTCCACCAGAGGCCCTGTGCTCCTGCTCTGTCCCTTCCCTGTCACGCAGTGCCCCTGGCCAGGCAGGAAGGCTGCTTGGGAGGCTCCTTGGGAATTTGATTCAGGCCTTCACAGTGTTCCTGGGTGTACCATGGAATGCTTTAGTTCCTGCCCACTCTCCCCTCCCCAGGAGGCCAAGGGTCATCCTGGGGCCCTTCCAGCTCAGAGCCCAGGGCCAGTGTGCAACTGCAGCCTCCAGCCTGTCGAGGCTTCTCTTGTAGATCCTGGCCTCCCTGCTTCCCAAACCCCTGACCTGCACTCTGCCTCTTCAGGGAGTGTGACACTGAAGCCCTGGTCCCCTGGCCTCTCCTCATCGTCTTCCTCTGACAGTGTGTGGCCTTTGGGAAAGCCAGAAGGTCTTCTGGGCTGGGGCTGTGGCCTGGACCTCCTCAACAGGTAGGCCGATGCCTGGGATCAGGCAGCTGGGATGGACCTCACATAGACTGAGGGGACGGGGCAAGGTGGGACGCAGCAAGCCAAGTGCTGTCGTTAGGCGGCTGCAGAATAGTGAGGTCTTTAGACACTGGCGGACCTGGGATCAAACCCTGTCACACACATCATCCGTGTGGCTTGGGCTGGTCATTTCTCCCTCCTGGGTGGGGCTCAGTGTCCTCACTGGTTAAAGGGGACAACGATCTCTCCTACATGTGAGTGGCTTGGGGTTTATGACACATGTAAACAAAGCCTCCAGCTCTGCCCTGCACGTCGTAGATGCTGAGTGCACAGTGGTTGCTACTTGAGGCAGCCTTGTCACAGCCTCCCACCTGCCTGCCCTCCTGGATCTGGACCTGGCCATTCAGCTTCGTGCCATGGGTGGGGCTGCCCCCCCAATCCCCTGTAGCTGGGCCACCCAAGAGCCCAAAACTAGAGTCACAAAACGTTGGTGCAGAGTGTTCTGTTGGTGGCCCCTGTTCACTCTTGCTAGTGGATCTAAGGAGGGGTGGGAGTGAAAGGGAGCCACACTGAGAAAGTGATCTTTGAACTCAGAGCAGCTGTGGAAAGAGCAGAGACTGGCCCAGGAGGGGCTTGGAGTCTCTAAGGAGAGGACGGTGGTGGGGCAGGCGGAGAGCAGAGCGGGGAGAAGGGGAAGGTCAGCCAGGAGGGAGCCACAGTGGGCTCTGTGAGTCAGGCTGGGAGTTTGGCCTTTGTATTCTGGGAAGTCTGGGAGGCTACTTCATAGCGTCGTCTCTGCTGGGAGTAGGCGTTACGATGAGTATCCTGTTTTATGAAGGAGGAAATTGAGGCTCAGAGAGGTTAAGGAACTTGCCCAAGGTCACACAGCTGAGAAGTTACTAGGACCAGGTCCACAGTGAGACTTTGATTTTGGGAAGCACTGAATGACAGAGCGAATGACGGGGAGACAGGTTGCCCTTTCTACCAGGACAGTGAGGACCAGGGGCCTCCAGCTCCCTGCCTCTCAGAGGCAGCTTGGCCAGGCTGGTCCAGGCCCTGCCCCCACACCCGGCTGTGAGCCCAGGGTGACATTGTTTCTGCCTTTGCAGGACGTGCTTCTGGGGGAAGGGGTGGAGGCGTCTCCCTTCCTGCCTGCCTTGGCCCTTCCTCCAGCCTGGGCCTGCAGCAGGGGTCCTGGCTGCCTTCCAAGGGGCCAGGATGCAGCACTCGGGGCAGGAGGCCCCGTGATCACATGGGGCCACCTCTGCTGCCTGTGTTGTTCCTGGGGAGGAGGGAACTGTAGGAAGAGCAAGGATCTGGCTGGGGGCGGGGGTGGTGGAGAGAGAGGGCGAGGCCCTAACCTAACAGTGCAGTGGCAGTGACCCTTCTGGGTCCTCCAGCAGTGCTGGGTGTGGGAGGGAAGAACAGACTTTGGAGCCAGCTTCCGGGGCCCAGATCTTAGCCCTGCCTCTTGCTGTTGTGGAGCATAGGGCAGGTCACTGACTTCCCAGTCTTCCGTCTCCTGTTCTGTGCAATGAGGTCACCGTACTGCCTGTCCCCTGAGCCACTGTGGGACATCCTGGTGGTCCTCCTAGAGGACCTAGAACAGTGTCTGGCTCACAGGGAATGGCCAGTACTGTCAGCTCGCAGGTATTTTCAGGGTGGGTGTTTTTAGCACCATTTTACAGATGAGAAACCAAGGCTCAGCGAGTCTGGAATTTGTCCCAAGTCACAGCCGCTGGGTGCTGGTGTGGGGCTTCCTACGTGCCTTTCGTCTTCTTCAATCTCATGCTTATGTCGAGTGCCAGTGTGTTCTGGGCACCATGATGGCATTTTTCTGCCTCTTTCCCATTTCCTGCCATCTCTTTTTTTTTTTTTTCATTTTTCTTTTATTATTCATATGTGCATACAAGGCTTGGTTCATTTCTCCCCCCCTACCCCCACCCCCTCCCTTACCACCCACTCCGCCCCCTCCCTCTCCCCCCCCTCAATACCCAGCAGAAACTATTTTGCCCTTATTTTCTAATTTTGTTGTAGAGAGAGTATAAGCAATAATAGGAAGGAACAAGGGGTTTTGCTGGTTGAGATAAGGATAGCTATACAGGGCATTGACTCACATTGATTTCCTGTGCGTGGGTGTTACCTTCTAGGTTAATTCTTTTTGATCTAACCTTTTCTCTAGTACCTGTTCCCCTTTTCCTATTGGCCTCAGTTGCTTTAAGGTATCTGCTTTAGTTTCTCTGTGTTAAGGGCAACAAATGCTAGCTAGTTTTTTAGGTGTCTTACCTATCCTCACCCCTCCCTTGTGTGCTCTCGCTTTTATCATGTGCTCAAAGTCCAATCCCCTTGTTGTGTTTGCCCTTGATCTAATGTCCACATATGAGGGAGAACATACGATTTTTGGTTTTTTGAGCCAGGCTAACCTCACTCAGAATGATGTTCTCCAATTCCATCCATTTACCAGCGAATGATAACATTTCGTTCTTCTTCATGGCTGCATAAAATTCCATTGTGTATAGATACCACATTTTCTTAATCCATTTGTCAGTGGTGGAGCATCTTGGCTGTTTCCATAACTTGGCTATTGTGAATAGTGCCGCAATAAACATGGATGTGCAGGTGCCTCTGGAGTAACAGTCTTTTGGGTATATCCCCAAGAGTGGTATTGCTGGATCAAATGGTAGATCGATGTCCAGCTTTTTAAGTAGCCTCCAAATTTTTTTCAGAGTGGTTGTACTAGTCTACATTCCCACCAACAGTGTAAGAGGGTTCCTTTTTCCCCCGCATCCTCGCCAACACCTGTTGTTGGTGGTGTTGCTGATGATGGCTATTCTAACAGGGGTGAGGTGGAATCTTAGTGTGGTTTTAATTTGCATTTCCTTTATTGCTAGAGATGGTGAGCATTTTTTCATGTGTTTTTGGCCATTTGAATTTCTTCTTTTGAGAAAGTTCTGTTTAGTTCACATGCCCATTTCTTTATTGGTTCATTAGTTTTGGGAGAATTTAGTTTTTTAAGTTCCCTGTATATTCTGGTTATCAGTCCTTTGTCTGATGTATAGTTGGCAAATATTTTCTCCCACTCTGTGGGTGTTCTCTTCAGTTTAGAGACCATTTCTTTTGATGAACAGAAGCTTTTTAGTTTTATGAGGTCCCATTTATCTATGCTATCTCTTAGTTGCTGTGCTGCTGGGGTTTCATTGAGAAAGTTCTTACCTATACCTACTAACTCCAGAGTATTTCCTACTCTTTCTTGTATCAACTTAAGAGTTTGGGGTCTGATATTAAGATCCTTGATCCATTTTGAGTTAATCTTGGTATAGGGTGATATACATGGATCTAGTTTCAGTTTTTTGCAGACTGCTAACCAGTTTTCCCAGCAGTTTTTGTTGAAGAGGCTGCTATTTCTCCATCGTATATTTTTAGCTCCTTTGTCAAAGATAAGTTGCTTATAGTTGTGTGGCTTCATATCTGGATCCTCTATTCTGTTCCACTGGTCTTCATGTCAGCCTCTCAGCTGCCTTCTCTGTCAGCCCCCTGGGCCCTTGAGCCTGTCTGTGCTGGGGATCCTGGGCAATAAGGGTGCTGGGAAGGGTCTGGAGAATGACTGGACAGAGGGCCAGGCTGGGAGACAATGGGGAAGACCCTGAATGAAGCGAGGTGAGGAGGGGCAGGGCAGGGAGAGCCCTAGAGAAAGCTGCGATATCATCTCTCTGGGAAACCCCATCCCTGCCTAGACTCATGTGGTCTCAGAGGATCTCCAGAACCTCCTATTCTCACACGACAGAGTTCTGACAGTCTGACCCCACCACTCACCAGCTGGGCCACCCTTGGCAAGTTAAAACTTCCCTGTGACTCTGTGTCCCTTGTCTCTAACATGGGGGTCACCACAGAGGCCTCCTGTAGGGTTGTGGGAGGATTTAGTGCTGCAGTCTGTGGGACATGCTGAACTCTCAGCATCACAGGTCCCTGAACTGTGCTAAGCAGTCATGTACTCAGCCTAGGGATACCATGGTGCCCTGGGCAGGGGACACTCACTGAGGCCACTTGGCCCCTCACTGTTCAGAACTGGCAGAGTTGGCAGACTCTGTATTCCCATTTGTTGGTAACCTGACCTCCTGGTCTGACTGGGGGCAGGGCTGGGTGTCCTTATCTGGTGGCTGGAGAGCCCTGATCCTCCCCACCCCACCCCCAAACAGGGTGTGGGTCGGTCAGGCGCCAGCCCTCTCCTGTCCTGCTCATCTGCAGTAGCCTGGGACTGAGAAGGGTTGCTCTGCACCCATGTGGGCTCCCAGGACTCTGATCAATGCCGAGAGCAGGCACCCTGTTCTGTACAGGCTGGGAGAAATCACTGGGTCCTTTTGGGACTCTTGGAGGTTGACAGGGGTGTCCTTGAGGAGGGGCTGCTAGAGCTGGGTCTTCAGGGAGCAGCAGGCATTGGCAGGAAGACTGTGAGGGGCTGAAGTGAGCCCAGATGCTGGGATTACAGGTATAGGTGGGCAAGAGGTGCGTAGAGGGCCTGGGCACAGCTGCTCGCTAGACTGTTCATGAGGGTCAGTAGTCTGTGGGTTTGAAATAGGGGGGAAACTGATGCCACCGAGTGGGGCCTTTCTCTGAACCACATCTGACGACAGCAAGTGTATGATTTTTCCTGAGCACTTAGTGTTTACTGCTACTGTTCCCTGTTTTCACTCTGCATGGGGGCAGGTTGGTTAGGCATGGAGCATCGCTAAATAGCAGGCCCCAGAGTTCCTGCTGTTTCCCTCCATGGCACTTTGCTCAGGCTCTGACCACACCCAGACTGAGAGAGCCCCGGACAGGCCTGAAACAAAGGCTGGAGAGACAGTGGTCGGATTTACCTGGGTAGAGGCAGGGTTACGTTCACTACCCGACTCCGTTACAAAAACAGCTAGTCAGGACCCACCAAGTGCTGGCCTGCAGAGCCCTCTGTCCACATCCCTTCCTCTGACCCTCACGTCCACTGTATCAGAGGGGGCATAACCTTCTTTGGTTTATGGCCAAATCTCCAGCAGCCGGTTTGTTTTTGAGTCCAGAGCAGATTACCTTGGGGTTTGAAGTGGGGCTGTGTTCCAGCTGCTGCCCAGGCCTTTCTACATCACCTCAGTGAGCCAGAATGGACCAGGGCTGTCTGTCCCCACCCCACAGACCTTGGCTGTGCTTTGACTTAGGGCAGGGGTCTAGACCTGTTTCTTGGGGCCAAAGGTTCATGCTCCCCCCAGGTACTGCAGCCTCGGTCTACTCAAGCAGGCAGCGGGGGCGGTGTGGTTAGATCTGCGCTGCAGCCCCAAGGCTCTGCCTGGGCGGCCTCTCCAGCCGGGGCCACCTGCTGACCCTTGCCTCACCCACTTCCCATGGGCAAGGACTTATGGGAGGGAGTTGGGGTCAGTTTGTCCCTGAGCCTGGCCGTAGTGCCTCACCTTTCTCACCCAGATGACAGTACTCTGCCACCATAGGGATCTTGGTGACTCTGGCTCAGGGGTCAGTGGCTCCCAATGATCGTGGAAGGCCAGATACCCACGTGCTATGTCCCCAGAAGTTGGCTCATCTTGCTTTTCTGGGAGCCATTTCCTAGGATGTGAAGTTAGTGGTTAAGGCAAGGAGCTCGGCGTAGAACCTAGCACAAGGGCAGCCCCGGGTGCTACTGCTGTCACTGTGTTTCCTGTGCCCTTCCTTCAGCCAGGAGCACTGCTTCCCCGCTGTCTGTCGTGAAGTGCCTCTGGACTTCACACGGATAGCCCAGTTGCATCCTAGGAAGTTCCTCTTCCACCCTGTGCTCCCAGTCTGTGTTGTGTTCTGACAGCATCTCCCTCCTTGGTCTGGGAGCACAACGCGCATTGATTAGCCATCCTCTGTGTGTGCTGGACACTGGGTTTGGTGCCAGGGATACAGACCAAAGCACATAGAAGTCTGGTGCTGAAGACCTTCTTTGTGACAGGTGTTAGCAAAAGGGGAAATACAAAACCTGCATCACGGGGCAGTTGGAGTGTGCCTGTCCAAGCCCCACTCACCCTCACCGTGTGCCCAGGGGTCTCCCAGGGAGAGGCCAATTTTGACTTGAGTTGTGCGCATGGAGGAGCAGCAGTTTCCCAGCAGGGAAGAGGGGAAAGGGCATTCGAGGCAGAGGGCACTGCTGAGCCAGTGGCCTTGTGGTGGGGCTCCTGGCTTGGGGAATGGAGTCACTGTGTTAATCCAGGAATGTTGAACCGTGTCAAAGCCCTGATTGAACTATAATTCCCATCCACTTCCTCGCTTCTCAGGTCTTTGGCCTTCCGAGTGTCAGGCTGGAGCCCCCCAGGTCTGGAACCTCAGGTTAAGGTTTCAGATAGCCTGTCCTTCCTTGGAGACAGATGGTCTGGGGCAGCGGTGCGGAGGGTGCTGTCTGGGCCTGGGTCTGCCAAGACCGAACTGAGAGAGGTGAGGCCCCTGACCCTGAGCTGGGGGTGGAGTCTGTTCTTCAAGCAGGGCTGGACACTGATTGGTGGAGCAAGGTCGCTGGGCAGAGCTTTGGGGATTGACTAAAGCAGAAGCAGGCTCTGTTAGTATTAAATAAAATCTGTGGCACTGTGCAGGCTGTCAGCACCTTGACAGAGCCTCGCCTATAAACCACTTCTTTGACTCCCTGCCTGGGTTATCGGTTATCTTCTCAGCCCAAGGCAGAAGCTGCTGACCTGGACGGGGCCAGCCTGGAAGCCGAGGCCCAGCAGAGGACTTTAACCTGGAGCCAGGTGTCCACACTCCCCTTCCTGCTGGACTCAAAGGGTAAGCCTGGCTTCGGGAAGCGCCTGGGAACTCAGTCCTAGAAGATCAGGGCTGATGGCCCAAGAGAGGGTACCTCCAGCCTAGGGTGAGGGTGGGAAAAGAAGGGCAGGAAGGGGACGCCACAACCCAGTGGCCTGGCTCCTGACAGTGCTACAACTTTTTTTTCTTTTTGCCTGTTCTTATGCCCTTTCTCTGCACTCTCCTCAGTTAAGGAGCACTGTGTTAGGAGTTCAGTGACCTGATTCTGTCCCTAGGGGTCTTGGTGGTCTCATTCAAATCCCTACCTCTTCTGTACCTAAGTTTCTCACTTGAAGAAGGAGGGTGGAGTTCTGACAGCTCAGCCCCAAAGAGGGTCATATCTGTGGCTCCTCAGAGGCCCATCCTTGACCTCACCAGCCTCCTCTTGTCCTCCGTGCCCCCTCTGTGTCCAGCCTGCCAGTCCTTCCACGAGGCCCTAGATGCTTGGGCGAAGGCACCAAGTGGTGAGCCTTTCTACATTCGAGCCAACCTCACCTTGCCTGAGCGTGCAGACCCCCATGCCCTTTGCGTGAAAGCCCAAGAAATCCTTCGTCTGGTGGACCCCGCATACAAGCGGCGACAGGAGTGGTTCTGCACGCGAGTTGACCCCCTCACACTGCGGGACCTGGACCGGGGCACTGTGCCCAATTATCAGAGGTGATGGTGAACTGGGAGTTGGCACCGGGATGGGTGCTCTCTTTCCCCTCTAATCTCTTGCTGCCCTCTGGGATGGAATGGGGGGGGAGGAGAGGAGGTAAGGACGTCCTTTTCCCTACAAGTGCATGACACAGCTTCCTCCCACAGAGCCCAGCAGCTCCTAGAAGTCCAGGAAAAATGCATGTCCTCCAGTCGGCACCGAAGTCCACGTAGTAATGTAAGCAGGGCTGGATGGGCAGGGAGACAGCCTGAGGAAAGTGGGACGCCAAGAGTGGGGTCCAAAGGGAGGGGCAGGCTTGGAGTTTTGGCAGCCCTGGGGGAAGAGGGAGCCATATCCAGGGGTTGAGGGTCCACCTTGCTTCTTCACCGGGACTTACTTAATGTGCCAAGCAACATTTTCCCTGTTTAAATGAGGTGGAGTGTGCCCGATGCCCAGGACCATGGCAGGTACATAGTGGACATCTGATAAGAAAATAGTCACATATCTTTTCTAATCCTGGACAAGGACTGAGCCAGGTCACCATCCCCACTGTGCCCATGGGCAAAGTGAACCTGTGAAGTTAGATCCATGAAGAAGCCACCTTGCTGGAGAGCTGGCTGAGAGTGTGGGCCCTGGTGCAGACTGCCTGGGTGGTGACAGCTCTGCTGCTCAGCACCTGTGTGACTTTGGACAATCACCTGAACCTCCCTGGTCCTCCTGCTGCTTCCTGTCCTATCCATGGGCAGTTTTCTTATCTGTAAGACCAGGAGGTTACTCTACCTGCTTCCTGGACAATACAGGGCTTCAGTGAGTTTGCGCACATCTGGGGCTTACCGTCCCATTGTGGGTGTTCCCTGCCTGCCAGGTGTTGGTTAGTTAGTGCTGCTGTCATAGGTCCCCTTAATCTTCTTACCCAAGGTCACATTGCCAATGCATTGGAAGAGAGCCTGCCTGGGCTGGCCTGGGCTAGGCGGGTCTCTGGTGCTGACTCTGGCTCAGGGGAGCCTAGAAAATGGTGGCAGTGGGGCCTCCTCTGCCTGGGGTCCTGTCTGCTTCTCACTCTCAGTATGGGGGTGGGGGTGGAAGGAGCTCTCAGTTGACCTCGTTCCTTCTGGTCCTCCCCAGCTGAAGAAGCGAGCCTTGGGGCTGGTGAGGCCCAAGCCTGCAGGGGGGCCTACAGGGGACTCCCCAGAGCAACTGTCACCAGAGCCCTGCTCAGGTTAGTGTGCAGATGTGGAGAAGCATCCCTGCCACTCATGGCATCCAAGAGTGGGTGCCTCTGGGTGGCCTTTGGCTTGGAAGGACTTATTGTGAGGGTCCCCATGGGGTGGGGCCCCTGTCAGGGGCTTGAGGGACAAGGTGCCCATGGTAGAATAGGCCGATGAGGCACAAGAGCCTGTGGGCAGGTACTCACGTACATGACTGGGACTTCGGGTCTGTGAGTTTGGCCTGCTCTTGCCTGAGGGCCCCAGAGGGACTTTGTGAGAAAGCAGGTGAAAGCCAGGTCGGAGAAGGGGCTGGAGGAGCCCAGAGGAGCGAGTGGCAGTTGAGAGGGGCATCCAGGAGAGGGTGATTAGGGAAGACTTAACAAGAGAGGTTGTTTCAACTCGGGTTGCTGGGATGAGGAGGAGTTTGCTCCAGGCAGAAGGCTTAGCTCATGCAAGGACATGGGGGCATGGCTGTGGGTGATGTCTTTGGTGGACAGTGGGCATCAAGTGCCAGCTCTGTCAGGAATTATGTTGGGTCCGTGGGACTCAGTGGTCCCTCCCCTCACAGTTGGAGGGAGGGAGCAGAAATCACACCATAATCAGAAACGATCAGCACAATTAGAAAACGTGATGTGTCGGAGAATGGGTCCTGAGGCCCTGCCGATCTGGGGACCCAGGAATGTGTGACCTGGGCTCTGAGGAGAGGGGAAGGCTTACCTGGGTTGAGCAGTTCGGGAGAGGAGCTTTGGGCAGCTTCAGGGTGTGTGATTGGAAGCAGGAAAGGGGTCTGTGGCTCCATCCTCCCTGCTCACAGGCAGAGAGTGAGTAGGATGTCACCAGAGTGGTGCCTTTTACCTGGCAATCTAGGAAGTCTGTGGTGCATTGACAGCAGAGTAGTCACAGGGTGTTGTGATGGACCTTTGGAAGCCTCTCTCTGGCTGCTGAGTGGGAAATGACCTGTAGGGGGCAGAGACGAGGCGCTTACTGTAAAGGTGCCAGCAAGGGGGGCATGAGTGCGTTTGTATATGTGTGTGTGTGCCTGTGTAGAGAAGTAGCAGCAGGTCTCAGGAAGGGAAAACAGGTACTGGGGAAGCAATGTTTTTGGTATCAAGGGGAAAAGTGGTTGGACCCTGTGGTCCCCTCATCTCTTCTGTACCCCGTCCCGCTGCAGAGCCAGAGCGGAGCCTCAAACCCTACAGCCTGGTGCGGCCATTGTTGGTGTCCACACTGCGGCCTGTGGTGCTGCTACCTGAGTGCCTGGCGCCCCGGCTCATCCGCAACCTGCTGGACCTGCCTAGCTCCCGGCTGGACTTCCAGCTGTGCCCTGCAGGTGAGCCTGTGACCGGGACAGGGAGGACTGGGTGGCACTGGGGCAGCCAGGATGCATGGCCCTGCATCCTGCCTCTCTCTCCCCCTGCAGAAAGCCTCTCTGGGGAGGAACAAGGTGCATCCTCAGCTCCTGGAGCCCCCAAGGCCCAGTCTGCCATCCTTGGGCTGGGCAGCAGGATCCGTGCCATCCAGGAGTCTGTTGGGAAGGTAGGGGTATGTGTGAATGTGGGAGGGGCTGCCATTCTGGGTCTGGAACCAGAATCTGGGCTGCCTCCTGGGTTCCTTGGTTTCCTCACCTGTGATGGATAGGCTGGGGCCGTTGTCCTCTGTGGGTCACCTGGAGATACTGGGCTATATACTTCCTTGTCCTTGAACCTGCCACTGTGCTGGGAGCTGACCAGGGGCTGCAGGATGGTGGGTAATAGGTCAGTAGGACTAACACGATCCTAGGGATGAGGTAACCTAGATCCAGAGTGGGGACATGACCTTTCTGCAGGTCCCCAGCGAGCCTCCCAACCCCAGGTTGTTTGCTCATTGCTAGGGTTTCTCTGGGTAGAGAAACAGGACTTGTACCTGGGGAGGTGGGGACACGAGTCAGGGTGGGGTGGAGCCTGGGAAGACTGGTGTCCCTGGACTAGGAGTAAACATGGTCTCTCTGTGCCGAGAAAAAGCACTGCCTGTTGGAGCTGGGCATGCAGGGTGTGCGGGAGCTGGTCCAGAGCGAGGTCTACCCCATTGTCATTCATGTAGAGGTGACGGAGAAGAACGTCCGAGAAGTCAGGTGAGGCTGTGTGGGGCATCTCTGGTTGCCATCTGTCTTTCTGTCTTTCTCCGTTTGCCGTCTTCTCTCTTAGACTCTTCGTAGCTTTGCCTCTGTCCTCCTACCTCTGCCTGGTCCCTTCTCTGATTATGGCTTGTCCCCCTCTTTGTGCAGGGGCCTGCTGGGCCGGCCAGGCTGGCGGGATTCAGAGCTGCTGAGGCAGTGCCGCGGCTCGGAGCAAGTGCTTTGGGGGCTGCCCTGCTCGTGGGTGCAGGTGCCCGCCCATGCGTGGGGCCATGCAGAGGAGCTGGCCAAGGTGGTACGTGGTCGCATCCTGCAGGAGCAGGCCCGCCTCGTGTGGGTAGAACGAGGCAGCAGTGGTGGCAGCAGCAATAGCAGTGAGGCCTGAGCCTCCTCCACCTGATGGCTGGGCCTCTGTCTGATGCATGGGCCTCCTCCATCTGACGCCGGGCTTCCTTCCACGCTGCAGAAGATGCTACCCAGTTGGACCCCATGTCTGCGGTGGAGTGGGTCGTCTGCATCCCGAGCCTTCTAGACCTTGGACTCTGATGGGCCTTGGCCCTGGGCTCTCCCACCCATTTGCCACAGGCCTGTAGAGGCTGTGGAGCCCACAGGGCAGAGCCTGCGTCTGCCCCATACTTGCTGCTCTGGGCCTTCTCATCCACCTGTCCCTGTGTCCCCACCTTCCCACTCATGGGTTTCACATGTGTGTCTGTGTCCTCTCCTTAAACACTGTCCTTGGAGTCAGTTCTCACACCTGTTCATGGGTTTGCACACCTAAGTTCTCCCGGAGCAGGCTCTGGTTCTGTCCCTCCCCCTGGGCACACGAGGCCTTCCTCCTCAGCCTGCTCTGCTTGTGGGAACCCCAGGTTCTGCCACTGTGTGACTCCCACCTGGCCACCTCACATTTCTCAAGTGTGTGGCCACAGGTGGCTTCCTGGTCCTGTATCACCTGTATGCCTTGTGTCTTCTCAGGTGTGTCTGTGTTCTCTCCTGTGTAAATGTCATGCCCTGCCCCTGTGACACTGGGCACTACATGCCTGTGTTCCCAGCAAGCACACCCAGGATCTTGTTCTCACAGCCCACCCCCTGCCTCGCGCCTTGCCTCTTGGAGGGGAGGGCTGGGAAGGGGTGGTGCTCGGCCACTAGAATGTACAGCCTGTGGGTCACTCACGGGCCTTTTCTTCTCAAGCTGCACACTACCGAACATTAAACACTGGTTGTCATAGATCTGTAGCCTTTTCTGGCTTGCATCCCTGGCCTGGGGCTCCCTCTCCACTTCTCTGTATTCCCGCCCCTATCCCTACCCCACATTTCAGGTCCTGGCTCCCTGTGGGGTCAGATTTCCCTTCTGACTCATTGTAGAGCTGCCTGCCATCCGTGCTAACATCACCTTACCTAGAAAGGTGAAGGAGCCACAGATAGGCCATCTTGGTGCTTGGCCCTGCTCTGTCCAGCAAAGGAGTGGCCTTTGGAGCAGGGGCACTGAAGTCAGCAGGGCATGGTGTGACTTAAGGGGGCTGGCTGCTGAACCCAGGATACCAAGTCCCTGAGACAGCTCCCTCTGAGAAAGGATGGCCATCTCTAACAGGAGCAGTCCAGCTGGACTGACCAGAGGAGGTGCCTCTTGGCCTTGAGGGTTGAGATTCCTTTCTTCAAGAAATAGTTATTGGTTGGGTGTAGCGGTCTGTGCCTGTAATCTCAGCACTGCGGAGGTGGAAGCAGGAGAATGATAACTTGGAGGCCAGCCTGGGATACATAGCAAGACCCTGTCTCAAAAAACCAAAAGGAGAAAGAAACAACAACAAAAGAGCATTTATTGGACCTGTGTGCAGGTGACTATCTTTGGTCATAGGGGATTTGGGGGGAGTTAGCGTCAACAGTTGAATGTGGCCCTCCAGGGAGTGAGAGGAAGTGAGCTGGATGTGCAAATCCATGCCGTGTGCTGTGGAATGAGGGACCCTCCCAGGGTGCCAGAGCAGGTTGCGGGCATTTGGGAGCCCTGGTTTGGGGTTGGCACAGTGGGCTGAGGCAGGTATTCAGGTCTGAGAGGGACCTGGGTGCTGGGCAGTGCAGAAGAGAGACGAACCAAGGAGAGAGAGGCTCTCTGAGACTCCAGGGGACCAAGTTGTGCCTCTGTGTTTGACAAGTTGGTGGAAAATGGTTTTGAGCTTTGGAGGGGTCAGAGCTAAGGATTTGGGGTGGTGGCTGGGGAGGGGAGCAGGGAATGAAGAGAGGGATGCGAGGGTCTGGGTGAGGGGCTCCAACTCCATCTTTAGTGGGAGGAAGAAGAGGCCAGGAAGGGATACAGGGAAGGAGGGGATGGGGGCCTCAGATGAGGCTGGCCCCTGCTCGGTAATGGGGATCAGAGGGGAGGAGGGGAGCTTCAGGCTGCAGAGAGGCATTCTTCCTGCATGAGTGCAGGTGCAGAGCTGTGGGGTCTGGTTGCAAGACCTCAGTCAGGCCCAGCTCCTGGACTTATCAGCTAGGTGGTGCCCAGCAGATTCCATAGCCTCTCTGGGTGGGGTCTTGGAGGGGTAGGGGCTCCTGATGCTGTGTGCTGGGACATGGGGCTGGGCATGGAAGTGTGGAGTGTGGACATGCCAGGTGGTGAGTGTGACTGGGACAGAGCCATTGTTTAAGGAGCCTCAGGGCTATCTCTGCTGAGAGAGAGAGAGAGAGAGAGAACAGATGGGCTACTTGGGAGCTTGAGGCCCCCCAGCTGTCACCACCAGGGCATGGGGAGTTGGACCCTGAGGGACAAGGAGCTCCCCTGGAAGAAGGGCAGCCCCCACTTCCCGGAAGGCAGGCTCAACATCCCTTGTTACTCCAAGCCTTCTATGGTGGAGACCCCTCCTGTCCCTCCAGACACATCTCCTTTGGTCTCTGAACCTGGCCCTGGCTAAGCAGTGCAGTACTTTGGCTCATGCTGGCCCTGACTGTACCTACCCTTTCTCACTCAGCTTAGAGGCCTGGCTGAGACTCCATCTTCAGGCTCAGCCTTTAGGACTCACCTGAGCCATGTCGTGTTGTGTGGCCATCTCTGTGGATTGTGTGGGCTCCCTGGGTGTGGGGACCGGGGACTTCCCTTCCACCCTCCACTGTGTGCCTGGCCCTGCAGCCCAGTGACAGCCACCTTCTCCCACTCCCCATCCTAGGTGTCCTTTCTGAGGGGTAGAGAAGCATGTCATCGTCATATTTTTGTTCTCATTTACTTTATTTTTTGACAGGGTCTTGTTATGTAGTACGGGCTGGACTTGAATTTAAAATCTTTTTTTTAAAGTTTAGCAAGAATTTATTTTAGAATAACAGGATAAAGTAGGGAGAAGTGACAGGGGAGGGAGAAACATTTTTTGCTCCCACACAGGAAATGGGGGTAAAGACACTTTGAACTTGAACTATCGAAATCCTCCTGCTTCAGCCTCCTGAGTGCCGGGATTATAGCTGTGCACCACTACTTCCAGCTTGTTCTCATTTAGTAAGTGAAGAAAGTGTCTTCCCCAAACTGACACAGCCAGGAAGTGGCTCAGTCTGAATTTGAACTCAGCACAAGGCCTGGAATCATCCCTTGGTGACACTGTTCTAAGAAGACAGGTTGAGAAAAAGCCTAGCTGGGGCTGGGGACTCTAGAGGAGAAGGAACCCCTGCCCTGCTAGGCTCATGAGGAAGATAGATAATAAGTAAGTAAAATACACAGAACTGTGTACTAGATGGCAACCAGGACTATGGAGAAAATGCAGTAGAGGGACAGGCTTGGGAACTTGGAAGGAGGGCTGGCAATTTAAATAAAGTGATCAGGGAGTGAAGCCTCATGGAGGAGGTGACATTCATGTCAACAGCTGAAAAAGTAAAGAGGTGAGGCCTTGGGGTGGGGGTGCTCAGTGGTGAAGCCTAACATGCATGAAGCTCTGGTTTGATCCCTGGCACCACAAAAATCACACACACACCCCATACCTGCACACCGTGAAGCCATGCTGATCTCTAGGGCGAGTGCTCAGGTCCTGAGGTAGGTGTGTGCTTGACTAGTCAGGAGATCAGCCAGCATTGAAGTTGAGGGAGAAAAGGGAGAGTAGCAAGAGATGGCGTGGGGGCAAGTGGAGGCTGTGCAGTGGTGGCGGTGGGAGCCCGTGCAGGGTTGGAGCAGAGGAAGGGGGAGATGTAAGTGATCTTGTGCAAAATAAGTTGGAGGCAGTGGCTGCAGAAAGTTTGGCTGGGAGACAGGTAGCTATAGAGCCTACCAGGTGAGATGGGACACAAGGGTGGGCCTCAGCTGGACAGAACCAGAGGGTCCCGGGTTTGAGCTGATAGGTGATATATCGTTCTGTGCCTCTGGACCTTCAGTCCTCAGCTATGAACAAGCAACGACAATCCCTTGTTGTAAACACCTAAAGACCTGGGGGAATTTCTGCGTGGGTGCCCACGAATTTGGACAGGCCCCGGACTTGAAGTCAAAACTTAGCCTGGGGACAGAAGGCGAGGAGGACGGTGGGCGATGGGCAGAGCAAAGGCGGAAGGCTGGGTAAAGCAGGACACACAGACATAATGGGCGTCGTACCAAACGCGCCACACGTCTCTGGGGAGGGGAAGCCTGGAGGGCGTAGAGGGCTTGCTGTCGCCGCCACCTCCATGGCAGCAGCTGGCAGGGGGACCGCCCCTTCAGCGGGCGCCTGGCTGCAGCCACCTCGGGCTCCCTGGGCCTGGCCCCGCCCCTTGGGCCCAGGCGGGGGCGGGGCCAGGAGCCCCGCGGTCAGCGACAAGGAGCGCGGCGGAGCAGGTGGCGGCTGGCGGCTGGCGGGGCCACCGAGGCTCGGCTCCCGCCTCTCCCCACCCGGGCCTTCCCACGGATGCCCGCCAGACTTTTGCCTCTGCCGGGCCCCCCACCCAACCAGCCAACCCCTTCCGGACTGGTTGGGACTCGGGGGCTGAGCTGTTTGGTGACCCAGTGCCAATGCAGTGCCGGCTCCTCCGGGGCCTGACCGGAGCCCTTCTCACCCTCTTGTGCATGGGGCTCTTGTCCCTACGGTACCACTCAAGCTTGTCCCCCCAGGGCGTGCAGGAAACCCCCAGGCTGAGCCAGCCCAGCCCCCAGCCCGGTGAGCTGAGTTTGCACGATGTCTTCATCGCTGTCAAGACCACCCTGGCGTTCCACCGCTCCCGCCTGGACCTGCTGCTCCACACGTGGGTCTCCAGGACCAGGCAACAGGTGACAAGCAGGCCGCTTTGGGGCCTGGGAGTGGCCCCTGGTGGAGGGGCTCATAGAGTTCTTTCTGGTGGGCTGGGGTCCTTGGACTGGGCTGCCTCCCCCCAGGCCTTGGGATCTGTCCTGCCCTGGCTGTGAGGGTGGAGGATGGCACAGAGGGACTCACGCTTCCCTTCAGGCCTCTCAGT